GAGACATACGGAGTCTAAGCAGTAGTGGAGACAGAGACGTAGCGGAGACGAAGCACAGACGAAGCAGGCAAAGAGAAAGAAAGACAGTGATTACGGTCGGCGGGAACTGAGGATAGCAGGCACAGAGATCGGAACTATAGTTAGCGAGGACGGACAATTAAGTCTAAGCGCGATAGAAAGTGAGTGAATTGTTGTGAACTATAGTGTGTGTAACTGTGAAAATTAAGTACATTACAAAGTTGTATTGAGGAAGAATAAACAAGTTTTGTAAAGAAAGGACTTGTATCTTCGAAGAATTAACAAACAAACATACAGAGACGTAACACTACCTTTGCTAAGTTTATAACAGATCAATATTTTAAAATGTTACTAAAAAAATTTTTTTTTTCTATTTATTATGATTGAACTGAAGTATTCATCATACCAATGATTGTGACATAAATATTATATCTTAAACTCATTTCGTTTGCATTTAATACAAATATTCTCTGGAACTTAAGTGATTCGTAAAGTTCAGTAATCGTCTTTCTTTGTTCAATAATGCTAAGAAAATTGCATTATATATGTTACCAAAAAAGAACAAAGGATATAGAAAGAGATGAAATATGGCAAAGAAAAATCATTTCCACAGGTGCCCGGGGTATTAGAGCGAGGATCGCACATCACCGTTGGCTTGTTCGAGCAACCCATCATAATGTCTTGCCACGCTTCTCCAGTGGCAGACCTAGAATGTTAAAATGTAGATATAACATATATAATTCCTTATTTATCAGTAGAAGCCTTCCAATCAACTGAAAGGCTCTGCATGAGGAACATAACCTACTCAGCATTTTTACTAAATATTTTTAGCATTTAAGTAAAGAACTCAGACTTACATCTAATGCTCATATGTAATAGTATAATAACATTTCTGTAGTTTGAATCTCGTGAAGAGAATGCACAAAACTTTAAGCAATATTATTTTAATAAACAGCATTAGGTATTTATAAAAATGACACCTAAGTAGGAAATTAAGTTGAATTATATCGTACGTGTAAGGAAATTATTGTTATAAGTAAATGTACCTTTATTCATTCAGTGTACCAACATTTTGTATGACATGGTATGATACGTATGTGATTTTCAACAACAATGTATAAATAGTATCCGAGTGACAACACTATGCTTCAGAATGATAATAGTTCTTCATCATTTCTATTGATGATGTGAAATTTAAGAGTATATAGCTGATTTTTGTAAGCTTTTGCTAATGTTTAAATTGCTAAATGATACCAGTTACAACTGTTGTTCTTACCTAAATAACACTAAAATTGCTTGTGGAAAAGTTTGGAAATTGTTATTTCTGTGGATGGCAGAATCAGGGTCAAGGGCAATTTTTCCAAAAACCTTAAAATATGTAAAAAAGAAGAAGTTGTAAAAGGAAAACGAGGTCTTCCTTAAAGCAAGTTTACAGGTACATCATTCAAGTTCCTGTAAATCACAAACTACATATACACATAAAAACTCATTCATATGAAATAACAACTAAATGTAAAAAAAATATACATTTTATGATATCCAAAAACCCACTTGAAGTAAATGTGCAGCAGAGATAGCTGATATGGGTATCAAAAAACATTTATTTAAACACAATACAAGTAACCATGTTTCAACTTTGTTAGATACACAAGACTGTTCATTTTAAGTTTAATATGAGTGTATTATTTAATTTATATTGTGCGAGCATTGAAGTAAGTTATTTTTAGAAGCAATAGTTATGGCAAGTTTGTGTATGTAACTGTTTATGAATCATTTGTTGTGTAGTTAAATTGTTGTGAAATGACATCACGTTACTTGAACCTTCTGTATTTTCTCATTGCTTTAAGCAAGTATTGTTACATCATAGCATCTCGTAGTTTGTAGAAAGTTCTGGGCCTCAGTCGAACAATGTATATATATAGGCAACCAAGTTAGTGCAAGTAAGTTAAGTTAGTGAAGATAAAAGTGAAGGTAGGCTGCATGATAGTCAGTTTAGCCATAAAGGGTGATTTTTAAAGTGAAAGTTCCACAGCTTGTATTGTAGAAACAGAGATAAAAAAAAAAATCACCTTGTCAGTTAGGTTATAAAGTAGTTGTACCAGCCTGTGTGGACTTTTGATAAAAAAGAGAATTATTTAAAGCTCTGGGTACAACTGTGGTAACACGTGGGGTAACGTAAGTGAATTTATCACCGATTGTATTTTGAAAACTGAGTAGAGGAGAATAATTTGTCTTGTTGAAGGGTGTTCTAAATTAATTGAACCAGCCCATGTGGATTTTTAAAGTAAAACAGGCAGTTATTTAAAGCTCTAGATTCAACTGTGGTAACCAATAATGTAACGTATTTTTTTGTAAATACATTTGACTTGTTTTAAATATATTATTTTAAAACAAGTGGATAATGTGCTGTCTATTTATTGTTGAAATTTATCACCAACAACTCACAGACACCTACTGTAAAGAATCATGGCCAGATATAAAAAAACCTGACAAATTTACATAGGTCATCATCAGGTTACGATGACATTATAATGATCTAAAGAGGATGAAACATTGTTATTTATATTGTGTTTTCATATATAAGTTTTTTAATAGCATAAATTTGATTCATATATATTACAAACACATCGCAATTTCTACCATTCCAGAGTTATACATCAGTGTTACTTCCTTTTTAAACAATTGAGCTTCAATTAATGATTAAGTGATTTGACTGTGAAATCCCAGCCACCACACATTATATGACTTATTCTAAGCCCAGCTGAATCACAACTGAAATTGTCAAAATTGAACTTCAAAACTTATTAGTCATTGCCATTTGGCTTTCGAAGCAGCATTCAGAGGACCAATAGTTATTACATAAATAAATATATTAAACATTTGAAAAGATAACTGGCACATTTACATAAGAAAGAAGAAAACACTAAACAACTTAAGTTATTCTCTAGATTCTTCATCAATATTACTTCACTTTCTTCTACACAGAACAACAAACAACTAACTGTAAAGCTTTAGATGCAGTGAAAACAGAATATTCTTTTGTTTACTATTAAAAGACAATAGATCAGCATTAACTGAAGACACAATTTTAAATACAAGGTGTTTTTGTCTGATGCTTGTCTAAAAAGTTTAATTTTAAATAATTAATATTTTTGAATGAGAATTGTAATTAACAACAACGAATGTTATGGTTTCAATTTTTTTTTTTTACTCTGAGATAAAAATAAATTCACCAGTTATTTACAACTTTATATATATATAAACTATAACTTTATTCAATACATTACCTGCATCCCAATCACAGCATATATGAAGAACAGCATGACAATAAGCAACGCTACATAAGGCAAAGCCTACGAAAAATATTAGATTATAAACCTTTAATATTACTCACAATTATTAGACCACAAAAAATAGATAAGCATTTGAAATTATGTTTAAGAAAAACAAATATTTTAACTCATAAGTTCTGAGATGAGAGTTCTCACATCCAGGGTTTATACAACCTAGCAATAATGAGTTATCCCAAAGTTAATATAATACACACCTGTAATCCCAAGTTTAACAACATAAAACATAATATTTATAAAATCAAGATAACGCACACCTTTAATCCCAACTTTAACAATATAATACTTATAAAATCAAGATAACGCACACCTTTAATCCCAACTTTAACAATATAATACTTATAAAACCAAGATAAAGATGCATTCATCTTCAACCAGGAACATAGTGGTGAATATACTTAATTTTCTTCTGATACTTTCCAAAATAGTTGGACTGTTAGAGGTATACTTTAATTTAATTGAAATACTTCTGACAAATAAAAAATCCAATTAAAGTTTTCCAAATATATTTACACCAGTGATGTCATTTACTAAAAAATCTCTGAACATTACAACTGGAATTTAGTTTGTCAAAATGTCATGTACTAATAATGAATTATGAAAATGTTTAATTATATTTTTAATATCTATCGAACAACAGAAATATAAGGTTTCCTTCTAAAGGGACTTTATAATTCACCATCTAAGTTCTTACTTTATAAAGACCAGTAAAAATCATTCAACCAAACACATGTAGAGTCTTGTAAAAATCATTCATCAAAACATGTGTAGTCTTGCAAAAATCACTCAACAAAACACATGTAGATATCTATTCCAAAGATTATTCATCAAACACTACTATGACTCACCTGAATGGACTTAATAAAAGTCCACAGCAGAGTTTTAATTCCTTCCCCTCTGCTGAGTAGTTTTATGAGGCGCATCACACGAAACAAACGAAAAAAATTTATGCTGATAATGTTGGTACCAGGCTGTAAAATAAAACAATACATACATTTTACAGCATCATAATTATTCGTGTATCTTTCAAGGACTAAGAAATTCTTCTAAACTTACTTGAAATCTATAACAATTTAGGAAAAAAAACAAAATTATGATAAAAAAATGAAGTTAAAATTTCTTACAGCCATCTAACAGTAACTAAAAGGCCTGCCATGGCTTGGTGGTTAGGGCGCTTAACTCGTAACCTGCAGGTTGCAAGTTTGAACCTTATCACCACATATTCTCACCCTTTTAGTCATGACGCATTTTTAATGTGATGGTCAATCCCTCTTTTTTGCTGGTTAAAGAGTAACCCAACTGTTGGCAGTGAATTGTGTTGACTCGTTGACTTCCCTCTAGTTTATTGTTTCTAAATTAGGGCTGGCTATTTCAGATAGCCCTCAATTAGCTTCGCACAAAAATGAAAAACAAATTTACAAAATGAACAATATGTCTTAAAACAAATCTCTTTTAAAACTGTTGACAATAATTAATGCATCCAAAATATGTAAATGAAAATAGGTAAAACAGCCTGAAATTTTTGTTCCTTTACTGATTTTATATCTTTGATTTTTACAAAGGTCTTTGTAAGATATCTTTAGTTTCACGTCGTTAAAGAATAATACAATTTGTTAGTATTACAAAGTTAACTACCTAAAACTCCAAGTAAAAATTATAGTCGGTTTTTCAAACCTGATATTTCATACAAACTGCTAGATGTTAATGCTCGAGAAACCTGTAAGTTGGATGATTGTAGCAGAGTAACAAAGTTACAGAGGGGATATACAAAGATCACTATGTGCTTGTTACACTTTTCTATTACTAGAATGACAGAAAAAGTTTCTTCTCCAGAAGTAAAGTATGTAGGGAAAAAGTGTAAAATGATGTAACATAACCTTCATATTAACTATCTTCTGTAACATAACGTTCATATTAACTATCTTCCGTAACATAACCTTCATAGTAACTATCTTCTGTAACATAACCTTCATATTAACTATCTTCTGTACCATAACCTTCATATTAACTATCTTCCGTACCATAACATTCAT